TGGAGAGTATCATGCTAAGTGAAATAAGTCAGAGAAAGACAAGTATCACATGATCTCACTCATATGTGGAATCTTAACAAAATAATGAACAGAATGGATCCAGACACATGGAAGCATGGATGGAACTGAGTGCAGAATCTCGGAGGGTGGGTGGGTGAGAGGTAATTAACCAAAGACCTTGTATGCATTAACGCATAACGCATGGACACAGACAATAGGGTGGTGAAGGCCTGGGGTGTGAGACTGGGGGAGAGGGGAGTGGCTGGCGGGTGTCAATGGGGGAAACAGTGGGACATAGATAATGCTTTCAACAATGAAAATTTTTTTTAAAAGTAAAAAGTAGCAAGGTCGGGGACATGCAGACAATCTAAAGTTACTAAGCTTTATCCCTACCACTATATTACCTGTGACAACTTTTAGTCCTAAACATTCACCTGTAAGTTTAAATTATAACATGTAGTTTGGGCATTACATGTTGATGGCAAACCACAGGTCTCCCTTCAAGTACTATAAAGGCTAGATGTGTTACTATAAAAGAAATGAAAAAGCAGGAATTTTTCAGCCTGGATATCTAGGTCCCAGATGACAGTTCAGGCTTGGGAGGTGCTGCTCCTCCTGCAGTAAGAGCACAAGATCATAGCCACCATCTCCCCGGAAGAGTGAAGCCAAGGGAGTGGGCAGAGCAGGTGGAGGCAGGCTGGGAACCAGTGTGCGACAACCACCATGCACGCTAACCCAGTGACTCAGAAAGCACACACCCATCTGAGGTCATCTTGCCTTCACATCACATGGCTCTATGCTTGAGGTCACTAGGCTACAGATTCGTTTCCATTAGCTGTCTTCTCTTTGGCACAACAGAGAGAGAAGATTCTTCCTGGCTGACAATAGGCAATGTAATAGGAGTGAATATGGGTCTCCAGGGAGCTTTGGGAACTGGGCGCTAGTATAGGGTCACATAAAAACTCATAAAGCCGGAGCCATCTCTACTTGGGTGAGAATTTTGCTTCTGTTATTTTATTCAGCTCTCATGACAAACCCTGTCAGGTAGATAGGATACTGTTAACATTCTTAATAGATGAGAACTGTCCATGATTGTTTTGCTGTGACACTGTCATGTTCTTGTCACACCACTGGGATTTTTACCAGATGCAGTAAAAACTCAGATACAAAGTGCCTTAATACCCAATTCCTCAAGACTGCCTCACTCACTGTGCACTGAGGGGAGAAAGGCTATATACCAGCGATTTTCAACAGGCGTGCCACGGAATTTTTAAAATATAAATACCTGACTATTTAGTCAGGGACTATGACCTCTTTTCCCTTTGATTGTCAAGTAAAAAAATGACAACAACCAACACAACAATTGCTACCTGGTGGGAATGAATCAAAATTATATTTTTTTTGTGGGGGGTCAGATTAGCAAAAAATACAATATTTTTTGGTGTACCACAGAAATGTAGTAATTAGTTACATGTGCCATGAGATGAAAAAGGTTGAAAATCACTGCTACACACAGAAAACCAGTCTCCCTTCTTGGGGGAAGCCACATCACATAATCCAAAGAACAAACATGCCCTGACAACCAATCTCAAACATTATCACCTCCGTTAAATGCAGTGTCTGCCGGAAGAAATCTGAGCCCGATGATCCTCTAACTTGCAACAATACAAAAGTAAAAAAACCAAATTCTTATCAGGTTACTAAATTGTTGATGGACCAAATGGAAAGTTATTAGACCACATCAATATAGGCCAATGTCTATCTCCCCAGTTCCTTCTGTAGAATGCACCTATTGCCTCAATGAGATGTTAGCGATGTGAGGGACTGGAATTACATCTTCTATTTTTTCTTTTTCTTTCTTTGGTTGTCAAATGATCTTTAATTGAAACATTAATGGAAACACTCCTTTGTGGTTCTTAACTAAGAGGGCATTCCACTGCACCATTGCTGATGTCATCGATGATGTCAGGAGGGTGGCAGCCCAGAGACAGGGTAGCCCAGAATTCTCTAGCTAACAACCTCATCAAAAGCAGCATTTCCACTGTGCTGAGTTTTTCTCTTCTGTCTTTGCGGGCGTTGATGATCAGGGCAGAGGCAGAAGGCACTACCTCAATCTGGGTCTGTCTGGTCTGAATCGTCAGTTTCACTATAATCCTCAGGCCCTTCTAAGCACCCGTTGCTTTGGCGATGTCATCACTAACCTTTTTGGGAGACAGGCCCAGGGGGCTGGGGCAGATGTGGCACAGGTTCCCTACAGTGCACCTCAGGTATATGACTTTGATCTCACTGCATCGAACTTCAGCATCATGGTGCAGGCTGCTGGTGTCAGATGAACCGGATTCCAGACAATGGAAGAAAGTTGCACCTAAGCCTCCTCCAGCCGAAAGCTGAAAAGGCCATCTTCTATTTTTGTTTACCTTGTATAGTATGTACCAAATTAAGAATTTGGTAGGCACCAATACATACGTGGTGGAATAAATTTTTCTCAGTTTCCTTCAGAAAGTTTTTCTTATTTTGGAATGGTTATTGTACATAATGAAATGCAATTGCTAGATTCATTTCTAACATATTTCCTAATTTTTTTCCTAAGAGTAAATATACAACTTCTGAAACCTGTGCTTCAGGATAATTAAAAAAAAAAGGTTCTGCAATTTTCTCAGCACATTTAGTGAAGATGCTTCCTTTTCTCCATTGTATGCTTTGGCTCTTTTGTTGAAGATTATTTGCCCACATTCATGTGGATTTATTCCCGGGCCTCAATTCTATTCCATTGGTCTGTGTGTCTGCTTTTTGTCAATAGCATGCTGTTTTGATTATTGTCACTTTGTAGTAGAGTTTGAAGTTAGGGAGTGTGATACCTCTATCTTCCTTCCTTTTTCTCAGGATTGCTTTGGCTATTTGAGGTGTTTTATGGCTCCATACCAATCTGATAACTTTTTGTTCTAGTTCTTTAAGACTTGCCATTGGGATTTTGATGGATTTTGCATTAAATCTGTATATCACTTTGAATAACATGGTCATTTTAACTATGATGATTAATCCAACCCATGAACACAAAATATTACTTTCTATTTCTTTGTATCTTTTTTAATCTCTTTTAATAATCTTATAGTTTCCAGCATATAGGTCCTTCACATCCTTTAAGTTTATTCCTAAGTATTTCATTCTTTTTGTTGCATTGTAAAAGTAATTTTTTTTCTAAAATTTCATTGTTAGTATATATAGCAGAAAATACCTCAGCATAATAAAGGCCATATATGACAAACCCTCAACTAATATCATATTCAGTGGTGAAAACCTGCAAGCTTTTTCTCTAAGATCAGAAAGAAGACAAGGATGTCCACTCTCACCACTGTGATTCAACATAGTTCCGGAAGTCCCAGTCAGAGTAATCAGGTAAGAGCAATAAATAATGGCATTAAACTTGGGAATAAAGAAGCAGAATCATCACTTTTTGCAGATAACATCATTTTTTATATTGAAGACGCCACAAAAAAACCCAAACAACTATTAGAAATAATAAACAAATGCAGTAAAGTTGTAGGATATACATGCTTTTCTTTGTCTTTGAGTTTCTGCATTTGAATAAGATATGCCTAGGTATAGATTTTGTTTTAGTAATTCTGCTTGATGTTCTCTGAGTTTCCTAACCTGTAGTTTACTGCCTATCATTAATTTTGGAAAATTCTCAATCATTATATTGCTTTAAATAGTTCTTTCTTTCCTTTCTTTTTTCTCTGGTATTCCCATTATGTATATGTTACACCATTTGTAATTGTCCCACGGTTCTTAGATATTATGTTCCTTTTTTTCCTCTTTGGAAGTTTGTACTGACATTTTTGCAAGCTCACTAATTCTTTACTTGGCTATGTCCACTCTCTTGATGAGTCCATCTGTTTTGCATGTTCTCCACTTTTTCCTTTAGCATCCCTAGCATTTTAATCATAGTTGTCTTAAATTCCCAGTCTGATTAATTCCAACATCTCTGCAATAACTAAGTCTGGTTCTAATGCCTGCACTGTTTATCTTCAAACTATAACTTTTGGCTTTTACAATGCCTTGTAATTTTTTTGTTAAGAGCCAGCTGTGATACACTGGGTCAAAGGAACTAAGGTATATAGGCTTTTGGCATGAGGTTTTATGTTTATCAGGCCAGGAGTTACTCTGTCTTTACTGTCTGATGTAACTGTAGTTGTCAGAGCAAAAAATTTTCTCTGGTGTTTGTGTTTTTGTCTCTCCTGTTTTCTTTGCACGTCCCTAGAGACATCTACTTAGCTAAAGTCTGAGACACGTGGCTCTCTCAGTTGTATTCCTCTGCTGTTATTCAGGAGCCCTGTGGGTGCGGTGGGAAGGCAGTGGCGAGAGGGGACGTGTTCTTCAGCCCTACGATTAGCTTTCAGGCTTTTGCCTCCAGACTGCAACCTTCTCAACTGCTTCTCTGCCTGTCCCTCCTTCCTGAGACAGGAAGACGAGAGCCATGTGGAGTTGGGTATTCCCTTCCCCTCAGGTCAGCCGGGCACTGATAAAACCTCAAGTTAGGGTCTGGTTAGTTTTTCTTGAGAGTAGGCCTTCTTAAGAACAGAATGCTGTGGCATATTTCAAAATGGCTACTTTCCCTTCCCCCAGTTAGAATCCAGTCTTCACCATGAGAACCGGGCAGGGCTCCTGGAAGTAAAGCTCACAAAAGTACGGCCCCACCTACCTCCCAAGACTGGAGCCCCTTGTCGTTTTTAACTCCCCAGCTTGCCCACGCTCAGCCTCCAGCCATGGGAGGTTTTCCACCCTGGTACTGGTTCCAGTGGATGTTCTTGCTCCTCGGCGTCTGCTCTGGGAAGCTGTGACTCTCTGCATCCTCTTGTCTGGCTCTCCAATTCTGGGGGCAGAAGAGTGGTGATCTCAAAATTCAGTTGGATCGAAAAGATTTGCTGATTTTGTTTGTTCTGCTTTTTTTCTTGTTGTGAAAACAGGAGTGATGACTTCCAAGTTCCTTATAATGTCAGTCCAGAAACTGGAAGTCAGAACTTGCGATTGCTTCATTCTGGCCCCTTTAAGCACTGCCATGTTCATCCCTGGATGTTCAGTTGCAACCATCCCTGCTGCACCCTATGGTCAGCTTTGGGAATCTTGTCAACCATTTCTTCATTTCTGCACATTTGATTCCTCTGAACATTAGGCAGCTGAAGGTATCATCTCCATAAAACATGCAAGCAGGTACCTAATTTTATTTTGTTCATGTTCTGTTGCTATATGACAATTTGCTGGTTTTTAAGGTTTGCATCTAAAGGAAGTATATAATTTCCCCATAATCTGTGTCTTAAATGTTCTTATTTTTCTTTTAGCACCTAGCAAAGTAGTAGTAAGGTAGCAGACTCCTTGTTCATCTATAATAATAAAAGCATATTATGCTAATTAGACCAGAAGACCTTCCGGACAAAGCCAGAGCTGCAAGAGAAGCCCGGGTCCCAGGTGCCAGAGGGAAGCTGGTGCCAGCAGCCGGGGGAAGGAAGGCCTACTCCTGCACAAATTTCATGCATCGGGCCTCTAGTTGTTAAACTCAAATTTATTGAAATTTATTCAATTAAACATTCAAATTTCTTCCACTGATATAAAACTAAGTCTTAAGTAAAGGTAACTTGGCTCTAATCCAATGGGCCAGATTAGAATTAAATAATAAAACTGGGGCACTAAGTTTAATGGGGAATCACAATAAATCCATTCTCCTAAGGGTACTCAGGCTGGTGCCATTATATTCATCTAGATCCCCTCACATTTAATGAAGAAACGATCCTTTCTGATCCACAATCTGCTGAGTTTTGTCAGGTATCATGACGGGGGTGCCTGGAGTTACAATGAGCACATGAGTCATATTTTCTGTTACTCCAGGGAGAAGGGCAGATCGTACCCACAAATCCAGAAGGCAGCCTGCAGCACCTGGGGCTCCGTCCAGGACGAATCAGTGGGCACAGTCAGGTTGGACCAGCCACCAGTGCCACATTCCTGCCTTGTGATTGCTCCTTATAGAAGTTCTTTCTTTACATACAAAACTTTGAAAAGAGGGAGAAACATAAAATCTCCTGTTTTTAACTTGTACTTGGTAGCAAAGTGGGTTTACTCAGCAGCTAATGCTAATGCTCGAACCATAAAGAGAGACCCAGTCTTTTTTATTGATTTATTTATGTTGGCTTTTTTTTTTTTTTTTTAAAGGCTGTCTCCTATTCCGGTAACTGGAATATCAGGATTCTCCAAAGAATCATGTGATGACAAGGCAGCACACAGCTGCCCTCTGGAGTGGTAAGTAAATGAACTCAGTCACCCTCTGGGTTTTCCCCTCTCCTTTCCCTGCTCTTTATGGAGGACATAGAATCACAGGGAGTAACTAGCTGAAGTTTGCTCTGTACTTTAATACCAGGCAGGAAGCCAAGCTGCAAATACAATGACTGGATTCAGTTTTACAAGCAAACACTGGGACCAAATTCACCCTGATCCGGGAAGAATGCCTCCGATCAGAACTAGCAGGAAATCCAATTCAAAATAGGGTGTGTCTTCCTTAATTAATGAAGTCCTGTAGAAATAAAAGCTTCCTTCTGTAAAAAGTCTACAAAAAAAGACTAAATTTTGCTATCAAATAATATTAGCAATCCTGTGGAAGAAATGTCTGAATTCCCACAACCTGCACCCTTGGTAGGAACTGTTAGCTCTGCTCTTTCTCCATTGGACACTGGTTGTTAAAGTCTTAGAAGGCACTAAAAACACTTAATTCTCTCTGCTCCCTTCCAACCTCTGACCCCTCTCTTACATCATGCACCATCAACTCCCCTCTTGTTCTCTGGGCCATTTGAATAATTTAATATAAGAACTCTCTGAGATCCTGAGAGAATGAGAAAAGTCACATACTTTGGCCCAAGCACCCCCAGAAATGTGCCAGAAGGTTTATTCGCCTGTAGCTGGCCAGGAACATCACTCTGGGAAGGGACAAATGCTAATCCTGAATCTATGGTTGCAGTTTGGGGGGTAGGTGAGTGTGGGGGGTGAAGGGATTGTATGTGGCATGGGGAAAGGGTGTCCGAAGTCAGGATCTTACCCACCTGCTGCCCGTGCCTGAGCCTTACCAAAATGATGCTATGATTATAGAAGCCCACAGGGATTGCTGTCAGGAATGTGAAACAATGAGCTACATGCCATATACATTTTCATTTGGATGTATGGGAGGAGCGCATTGAAGAAATAATTACGAAGAAAAGACTTCCCAACCTTAAAGGTTTAGGTGATTCCTACAGAAGGAGAAATATTGCTCATCCCCACAATGACATTATTTTATATGAATTATTAGGCATACAGTTGCCAGATTTACCAAATAAAATATAGGATGGCCAGTTAAATGTGAATTTCAGATGAATGATGAATAACTTTTTAGTGTAAGTTTACACCCTAGTTTACCTGAAATTCACATTTACTTCGGTGCTCTCTATTTTATTTGGTAATTGTATGCAGGTGTCAATGCAATGAACTGATCCATAAGACAACCTCTGTGCTGGGAGTCAGGACTGTGAGTCAAACCAATACCAGTGAGCCGTGCCTGAAACTTCATGACACAGTCCAGCTGTCACTGTGCTTCTTATGGGGATGTGGACAAAGAGCCATCTCTACCCAAAGACAGGAAAACACAAGGGCCCACAGTTCTGTGCAAAGACTTCCCAATAGTTCTCAAATGCTAAAATTTTAACACCAGAGAAACTAGGTTATGTAATGATGTACACCGCACTTCTGTTTTCCCGAGGAAGTTAGCACTTACTGAGAAGACTATGTCTGCTTGTGCTGTTGTTATTATTAACAGAAAAATCTGAGAGGCATCCTCACACAGCACCATGTAATACAGAGAAAGGGAGGCACGCCTAGATGCAATCTGTTCTACATCATAGAGCAAATGGCACCGGTACCACTAACTAACATGGAAAGTCAGCACTGAAGTCAAAAGGACAACAGCCCCCTGGACTGCAACCGGTACTGATCGAAATTCTACATTATTTAAATTGAAGTAATTTCTAAACAGCTCAAGTATTAAAGTTACACTTAAAAAATGTATTTTTATTGATTTCAGAGAGAGGAAGTGAGAGGGAAACATCAATGATGAGAGAGAATCACTGACTTGCTGCCTCCTGCATGCCCCCTACTGGGGATCCAGTCCGAAACCTGGACACAGGCCCTGACTGAGAAATGAACCCTGACCTTGGTTCACAGGTCAGGGTTCATAAACCTCTGTATTCAGTTGGTCTTTTCCCTAAAGCACACAGTCTTTAAACTCCATGAACAGTGGGAATGTGCCTTGCTCCCAATCCACACTGGTGATTATTTGGTCACTGAACTGACATTTGTGGCTACAGTCCTAGGAAAGACCACCTCTGTGCAATGCCTCAATCTTACTGGTCTGGTTAAGGTCAAATAGGATGGAACAAGTTTTCAATAAAATACCAGAAAACTCACACAATGGAATTTAGGTGAAAATACAGTGGTACTAAGGTTTAAATTCTGAAAGAAAAACTTGCTTTTAAAAAGCTCGGAATCTTTATTTTAAATGTTTTAAAACAATATGGCAGAAACATCATTAGGTTTCTACAGGTTTCACAAATAATACCCTCTAGAGAGCTTTCTCAGCAACAGAATATTACTAACTGCAGGAAAAAAAAAATACCCAAAATAAGAACATCCAGTAAATAAAACACTTTTTAAGATTAAAATGTAAAGATAGATTTTAAAACCACTTTTTAAAAATTTGGCAAATATTTTCTTCTTTTGTCTTTTCAAAAAAGAGCAAGCAACAGAATATTGTACATACAACATGGTGGTATTTTGTAATTTTTGAGAGTAACACATTTGTATCCTGCCCAACTTCTGCAAATGGCAGAGGGGAGGGTGTCGGCCTGAGGTCACTCTGGCAGCAGGGACAGCAGAAACTCACTCTTTCCTTTCAAGCTCACAGGCCCTCATTTTCACGCTGGCTCTGACCCCACCTTCAGCAGCTTTTCCTGCTGCTGACAACCAAATGGGGAAAATAAATGAGCTTTAAAATACTTTCTTTACAAATGTGAGGAAAGATACCACGCAAGGGGAAGTACATGTGAGTAAATACAGTCACATAATACGGATGCTGCAGAAACCACAGAGCAAAAGTAAACATCCAAAATGAGGGACTGCAGAGGGAACAGGAAGACCCCTTAGCATTCAATTCTTGTTTTGCTGCTCATATATTTCTAAGAACTAGGAACATCCTTCGCTGGCACAAAATACTGCCATATCTTGCTGATTCCATTAGATTTCCATCTACAAAAACTGACTGGCATGCTTCCAAATAGGAAACGGATCTCTCTTCTTCAAGAACAGAATCGTCTGGATTTTTCCCCTAAAATCCTCCTTTTCTCCATTTACAGCAGCACACATTCCATAATACTCAAGACATAAATTTTTTGGTTTTAATTATTTACTCTTAGGGTGAAAGGAGTAAGGAAATAAAGATATGGGAAACAGTTATTATTAGTTTATTAGTCAAAGCAACTTCACTCCAATCTCTACAGTAACACGGAGTAATGTCACCCTCAACTTCCTCTTAGAGCCACCCTTCTAGATACCAGTCAGGCTTCCGATGCCTGATTTGCCTCCAATTAGACACCCCACTCTCCGCTGGCGGGAAACTTGGGTCCAATATTCATTCTTAAAATGCTACACATGCATTTTCCTCTGAAGAAGCGAAGACCATGTTCACCTTCACCTGGAAGCTGTATTGCACTGAAGAACAAGGTAAAGCCACAGTTCTGCAGCCATGTCGTTAGGAAATTCTTTGAGCCTCATCCAATTTGTTTAAATTTCCTCAGGATCATCAACAGACGACGATACGATAGAGTCAAGGAAACTTGACATTCCCAACTCGCCTGTATGCTAAACACTAAAGCCAGTCTATGACAGAGCTAGGATTCTTTTCTGAGGCCAGTTAACTAGAATATCATTCTGGAGTCAGACATGCCCAGTGTCACACAGCTTTGTGATCCTACTAAGGGTAGGATATTTAGCAAATTATTAAATATCCCTGACTTCAGTTTCCCTAGCTAAATTTAAGATAAGAATGGCTCTCTTATGCTTGTGTTAAGGATTAAAGGAAATAATCTACACTAAGCATTAAGTATGATTATCTTCTTTTTAAGGAAACAAGTTAAGAATTTTCATGCTATCTTTAACACACTGTCCTGAGCTGCCAAAGGTTAGACTGAGAGAGGTAGGAATCAGCTAAGAGACCAAGATTAAAAAATCCAGGATACAGCCGAAACCGGTTTGGCTCAGTGGATGGAGCGTCGGCCTGCAGACTGAAAGGTCCTGGGTTTGATTCCGGTCAAGGGCATGTACCTGGGTTGCGGGCACATCCCTAGTAGGAGATGTGCAGGAGGCAGCTGATCGATGTTTCTCTCTCATCGATGTTTCTAACTCTCTATCTCTCTCCCTTCCTCTCTGTAAAAAATCAATAAAATATATTTTTAAAAAAATCCAGGATACAAATATTTTGGATCTTAAATTTTAAAATAAACAAACCAAACATTCTTGAGCCAGACTTCTTGGAGCTCGATACAAGCATAAAATTCAAAAGTTCAAGTTTTGTTCAATTCATATTAAACACTCCTTATGTACACTCGTCTTAATAAGAAATAAATGTTAAACTGATCAATAGCAAGCTAGCAGACCATTGATTAACATAGTATGTATAAAACATTAGTCTGTTATTAGAAGTATATTATCCTAAAACTTCTTTTTAGAATTCCTCAGGAAAACTGAGAAACAAAGAAAACTAACAGAATTAAGTAATAGATACTCCATATTCAAAGTCCATGCAAGGAGACTATGTTATCTGTAGCAAAATTCAGGTTATACTTTGGTAGCTAACCCTCCTCCCTCCCCCAGGATTCAAGATGAATCTGTGTTATAATGAGGAGTGCAAGAGGCAATACAATAGCAAGAAGTAAAATTTAAAAATATGCCAGACTTTGTGTTTATTGACTAACTTAACTGTTTCTGAAACTAATGATGCATCTTGCTTAAAATTTTTTAAGATCATATTCCCCAATTAAGCCTATTTATTTATAAACTAGAGGCCCGGTGCACAAAAATTTGTGCACTCGCGGGGGGGGGGGTGTACCCTCTTGCAGTCTGGGACCCCTCGGGGGATGGCCATCTGCTGGCTTAGGCCTGCTCCCCGAGGGATAGGGCCTAAGATGGCAATCAGACATCCCTCTGGCAGCCCGGCAGCCCTC